AAGAGTTGTGACTTGAGACTTGACGACATTGGATCCAGACTGGACATTGGGATTCAGACATTTCGACGAGGGACTATTTGGGCCTGTACCGAGACTTGGTGTTGACGACATTCCCATCTTCCCCTCCTCTTTCGTCTAACCCCTCCTTCGTCTGTGTATGGTTGGGGCTGGCGCAGTCTTCTTGTGTGAAGCGCCAGACCCCCTTCACACCAGATAACGATGATGATGATGTGTTTTCAGAGCTGCATTGCAATATTGATTGGTCGGATCATTCGTATCTAAGTCTTCCGCTGTGTTATCTTGTACTTTGTATTGAGAGGTCGGTTCTTGTTCTGGTCTGCACGTTACAGTATGCAACAGTGTGCCTGTCCGAGTGCTAGACGACTTGAGTGTGTGTGGGACCCGCAAGGGTGCTTGCTTGCTTGTGAATGCCCGTAGGGCCGGTACTTACCTGTGGTCGTGACATTGAGGGTTGCAGCGGGGAAAACACTGAAGTGAATGGAATAGGCCTGCGACACTTAGAGCAGCGGGGAAAAACACTCAAGTAGCGGGTAGGCCGGTGCCACACCAAGTAGTGGTAGATGAGTCGGGTACTCGAGGCCAAGCAGAAGAAGACAGAAGTTGGCATTTTTAGAGGCCCAGTAGTTGTAGTCTAGGTCTAGACGGGTACCAGTCCAAGTAGCCTCAGTCTAGGGCCTGTACGGGCAATATCAGAGTCTGCAATGATGTTTCCTTTCGAAAGGGAGGAGGTACCGGTTGCTTGGAGGCCGTGCGGCCTGGAAAGTCACCGCCCAAGAGGCAAGCAGGCCGCTATATCTTCAGGAGGAGTGCAGTGCTCCTCCTCATTTGCAGCGTGCAAGTTTGGAGTCACGCGGCTGGACCGCTGGAGGAGCAGTGCTGGAGTACAGCGCTCTGTGGGGAAAAGGAGCGCCCAGCTTCCCACCATGGCTATGGTGGAGGAGCTCGGGCTGGAGGAGGAGGAAGAGGAGGACTAGGAACGGGGGGTGCCAGAGGTACTTACCAGGCTATGGTGGACGCCATTTTCATCACCTTGGTGGGCGCTGCATCTGGAAGGCCCCATTGGGGGTATGGCTACATCAAGAAGCTTCGAGGCAGAGTCAAGCATGGTGGCCTGAGCCAGAGAACCCATAGCTGCTTTGACTTGTCTTTTGCACATCAGGGCAAGGCCCTAGCAGTCCGCCATAGCCTCGGCCTTCAGGAAGAGGAAGGAGATGGGTGGCCATGGCTATGGTGGACCTGATGTTGTACCTGCAGTAGAAAAGGGATTCGGACATTGATTCTGGTTCAGCCATTCAACATTATTATTACAAGTGGACCTGCCACAGCTATGCTGCGGCGAAGGACGATGACAAGAACATTTTGCAAAACACCTCAGCCATCAGTTGGATCCCATCTTTGCAATGTACCCCAACCGGACGCTGCCCAACTTTGCAAAATGCCTTGGCAGTTGCCAAGTTTTCATAGGTGCAATTGCAAAAAGCCAAGCGAATTTGCCCGACTTTGCAAAATGCCCCGGCAGTTGCCAAGTTTTCATAGGTGCAATTGCAAAAGGCCAAGCAAAATTGCCCAACTTTGCAAAATGCCCTGGCAGTTGCCAAGTTTTCCTAGGTGCAATTGCAAAAGGCCAAGCGAGTTTGCACACCCGCCTGACAGGGGCATAACACAAACATGTCAGCCCAAAAGGCCATTCCACTGTGGCCATATCTTTTAGGGACATTTTGACATATATCTCAACTTATCTCAACTTATGGGGGTATTTGGCAAATTACAAACCCCCCCCAGAAAAAAGGAGACTGTGTGTGTGTGTGTGTGTCTGTGTGTGTGTGTGTGTGTGTGAGAGAGAGAGAGA